AGGTCATTGCTCTCCTTGTTTACTGCAGGATCACAGTGTCCTCGGTCATGTTAGTTGAACGTGCTCAAGTGTTTTGATTCTGGTGAGCTGGTTTGCACTCAAGTATTTCAGTATTAATATACTATTATTGTAGCTACCACTACTGTTAAAATAGTTGTTCTAAAGTCCCTCCTTGGAAATGATCAGATATATTAGACTCTTTGCTACAATTTTTAAAAAATTGAACTTGCATTACTGTCAACTTGTAATACTGTCAAATGAAAAATTTGTTACATGCGTTTTATGACACATTTAAGGTATGATTTTTATTTTCACTGAAGGAGTGGTTATTATTTATGTGATATATCACACTGCTATACATATTAAGCACTTGGGGACTTCAGAGATGGGAGGACATTTTTAAGAATAAAATAGTATTTTTAAAAGTATAGCTTTTTCAACAGAAGATGATAAAGGATTGTGGTTTTTAGGACCTGAGTATCATCAGCTTTCATTGAAGTTGCAGGGTCCAAAATAATTTTCATCCATATAAACTGGTGGATAGAAGGCTTCCAATTTTTTTTCCTGTTTGCAGAAAGGTGAAGACTTGTTTGTTACATTCTCTCCATCCACCACCCCTTTGCTCCAGTTCAGAGGCAGTGTTGAACTACACCTTCCGTGCTCCTGTGAGCCAAAAGCCATTCCCCGTGTTTTACGATGCTGAGAGAAATACACTGTCCCAAAGGCTGTGGTAGCTTCCTCCTTCCATGCTGATCCAGTTGTACCAGAAAGAACTGGGCCCCCCTCATCTGAAAAGTTAACTTCAGCTGTGATCTACTCTGCACTCCAGGGAACTCACAGCACTGTCTGGTCATAAGCTCTTTTGGGATCATACAGTGGATTTGAGTGGGCTATATGTGTTATGTTATAGATGGCAGAGTTGGTGATAATGTTCACATCCGGCTTCTTCCAGTGTCAGTTTACATTATAAAAATAGCTTCTTATGACTTGGATCTCATGCAGGATCCCGTACAGCCATATAGGCAGATTGTGACGAGGCTTTAGTGCCTCATTTTTAACACAAAAATGTGACTTCTTAGGGATTTCCTTCCCTCCTCCAAGAGCTAATCTTGTTCTCTCTATTGTTTTATTAGTATGCAACACTAAAATCAGTTTTTCATGATGCAAGTCATGACTTATAAAAATTATAATAGTGTTTTAATGGAATGAGCAGGCAAATGAATTATCTTCTTGCAATATCAATCCCTAAAATATTGGGAGCTTTGACAGGGTGAAATCTTGAGAGAGGAAGGCAGTAGCGACAGCCAGCCTTAGGCTGAAGAGAATTATCAGTGGAAAGCATTACAGGGTATGCTTGCAAAAGACTTGCCAGATTTTAAGAAGTGACTACTCTAGTTGATCTTCGTTGTTCCTCAGCTGGAGGGCTTGCTGCCCTTCCCCTAATGAGCAGTGAGCTGCTATGTCAGGGCATGCAGTGCTCCTTGTGTGGTTTTAAGCAAATCTGAGTCTGTTTAGCTTGTGTGGGGAAGGGGTAAGCTGACTAACTTTGCTTTGAAAGGCTTTAAGAGTGCTTAGATAACGTTTTGCAGCATCTCAGTTGTAGGGTGTGGATAACTTCTGTTAAAAAGCTGAAACAAGCTATGAGGCTAGCATTGTTTTTTTCCAAAGTGATCCTGTGATTATAGTTCATGTGTATTTGAACTTAGCATCTCTTTGTTTCAAAGAGCCGATTCATGTAACAAAAATTTTTTTAGATGACTTCTACAGATTTGCTGAGTTGCATCCACACTTTGCAGAAGACTATCTCTATTCTGATCAGATGGGAGCTGAGAGCAGTTTGGAGACTTCATCTCTTCCTGCACCTAATGGCATCTGTACTGACTTCAGCCCTGAAAATGCTGAAGATAAAAAGAAGCCCCTGCAGAAGAAACTGAACTAATAACTACAACTGTTACCTTCCTCTCCTGGTGAGAGGATTGTCTTTTCTTGGGATTTTCATAAGTCACTCCAGTTATACAGCAAATACCAGTTTTGTGTGTGAAAGTTTTCCCGTAATACCATTCTTTGATTCATATGTACTATATTTATCAGTATGTTCCAGGTTACTTTGGGGAAGGTTTTTTTTTTGTTTGTTTGTTTGTTTTCGAAAAGTCTTTGAAAAGCAAGAATGTGAATGTGCTTCACTATTAATGTTCATATTTAAGAGGAAGCGGCACACTTATTTATATTTCATTGGCTAGTTTCATGTACAGAGTGTCGCACAAAATGTGCATGTATAAAGAAACTGTAGCTACTATGGCGTTAAGTGCACTTTGGTGATTAGTGTTTTCCCTAGTTACAGGGATGTTTTGGGGCCAAATTTTGCTGTCCATATCTGCATAGTCAGGCTTGTTGATTTCAGTGGGGTTATTCTCTTGAGCAAGGCAAGCACGTTTTTGGCCATTTGTTTTAGTTTCAATGAACAGTTCAGCAACAATATTGCAAAAAAAAAAATGCTAAGGATCACTTGCTTTTTTATTGTTGAGTGACAGAATTGTTTCTCTTTTAATCCATTCCATGGTAGAATGAAAAGGAAAGGCTATCTACCCCCCCCATCCCCAACACTTTTCTTCTACTGTAATCTTCCAGATGCAATTAAACTTGATATTTTTTTCCAAACTGACATACCACATGTTGTTTGCAAATACATGACAAAACTGTTTCAGTGCTTTTCTCTTCTGATAAGAACAAACCATGTCCAACCAGCATTTAGATGGGAGACTTGTCAACAATTGTATTTAATCTAGAGTTATCAGATTTCTTTTGTAGCAAGCCTGTATACAGGGGAAATCTGAAAGGGTTGCAGTCATTCACGAAGCAAAGTGAGCAAGAGTTGCAGGACGTTGCAAAGGAATGCTAGTTAAAGCTCTCTAGGAACGTTAGGTATACTGCGTGTAACATAGATGTACCTTCAGTTATTTTAGAACTCTTTTAAAGAAATTCAAAAACATTTGTATTAGCAACATTTTTTTGTATCTTTCCTCTTGTAAAGCCAGATGCCTTAATTACCAGTGATAAGCTCAGAGAAAAATTGAAACTATTCCAAAGCCACAGAGCTCCACGTATTGGGAAACATGATAAAAGCCTGAAAGAGCAGGAAAAAGTACTGTGTCGCAAAACAACTGTGAAGGCAAGTCTCCTTCCGAACAACACCACCAACAATTTACTTTCAAATCGTTTCTGTGACTAACCCTGCAGGGGCCACATTAAAATGATGTTTTTATGATTGGAAAGCTGCCATTGAGCTTTGGCTTTTCCCCATATTAGTGTAACTTTAAAACTATATCTGAAAGAGAGGAATTTTAGCGGAAGGAAATCTGTTTATACCAAATGCTTTTTTTTTTTTTTAATAGCAGGAGGTTTTTTGAAGCTCATTAGGGTATTGGAATGTGTCCTTAGAAATCCTTAGCTGCATGTGGCAGGTTTCCAAGCTGGGAGAAACTGGCTTTAATAGGAAGGGTATGGGGAAACAAAAGGTAAGAAATAATGCTTTCTGTGGGAGATGTAGAGGTATGCCCTCATTTGGAGCTGATAATTAAATTTTTGATTTATCTAAGTAATGCCTGCCAAGCTGGAGGGTTGCAGCAGATTGGTAAGCAGGATTAGAACCAAAACTAATCCTGAAAAATTGGAGAAATGGTTTGAAAAATAAGACATGTAAGGAACTACACTGAGGCAGGAAGAGTCTGCTGAGCAAACAGAGGAGGGAGCGGCTATAACTGCTTAAAAAGATGTTGGGGCAGGGAGGGTGAGGTGTATTACACACTGAGGACAGTTAAGTTGTTGGAGGGATGCATAAAAAGTGTAGCCCCCCCCCCCCCCCCACGTTGGGGCACTTTAGAAAGATGGGGAGCTTTTGGATGGAGTCCAGAGGACAGAAAATACTCAATGAAAAGATTGAAAGAAAATTTTAATCAAACAGGAAGAAACTGAAGGAAGATACACAAACAGTCTTCAAATATGGAAAAAGTTGCTTTAGAGACGAGAGGAACAGTCTTTTCTCCGTGTTGATGGCAGATACAGCTAATTCATTTAAAAGGCAAGTTAAGGAAAACTTGCAGCACACCTAGTTAAGCTTTGGAGTGGGTTGTCCAGATGGGCTGAGGAGCCCTCCCTTGTTGGAGGTCCTGAAAACAGAGCAGACAGGCAGCTAAGGCAGAGACGCTACTGATTTTGCTGATCATGCCCTAGGGCTGTAGGAGTAGGTCTTCTGAAGTCTACTTTCTGATTGTTAATCTTTTATATAAAATTTCAGTCGGTATGCAAGGGAAGGGACATGAACTGTAATTTAGGCACCACATCTGACCTGTAAGATCTCTTACAGCACTCTGTTGTGGCCCAGGACAGCTGCCCTTAAGGTGGTTAGGTTTTGCTGTGTACGTGAGCTTGGGGATTTGAGTATTTCCAAGCGCAGGAGAGGAGATAGGGTTCCTGGCTGACACGTTTACAAACAAGAAAAAGAGCAGCTTAGTATCCCATGAAGACCTTGGGGTGAGAGGGAGTCTCCAGAGAAAGGAGTGCTCTGCCCACGTGTGAACGAACAAGGAAACATGCATGGTGTTGGCTAAATTCGTTTACCTCATTGGTATGTATGGTGCTTATAACTTGGGGGCCTGTCTTCTAAAAAGAAGCAAAAGGTTTGTTTGGTTTCTTGTTTGTTTTAGTGAGGGGGATGTGTTTTAACTGAGTGAATGTAATAACTGCACTTGTTTGTAAGCATGCAGCTAAGCTGTCCAGAGTGTGCTGGTTTGAAGGGTGCTGCAGCCTGCAGTAGAGGAGCCTCTAAACAAATATGACATTGAGTGGTGAAGATGCTTTAAAAACCTGTGTGTCAAAGTTCTATCCACAAAGCTGAAACGCTGCAGGAGTTGCAGTGTTGAAGAAGTCCAGGTGACCAGTGCCTCGTTTCCTTGGAGGAGGCTGCTCCACAAGCAGCCTTGGTGGAGTGACCGTTTAAAAAAACATCTAGATTCTGTAATGACTTGCAGCACTCACTTTTTTTGTGAGGTGATTGATGTAGGTAGAGAAATAATGAGATAAATACCAGGATGAGGACCTGATCAGCCTGCATGGAAACATTCAATGTCACAAAAACAAAGACATTATAATATAGGCAAGCCAGGGGGTTTCAGCATCTGTAGGGTATCAAGCTACAATACTAAAATGCCTTGTAGTGACAGAAAAGCCACACTGCTCTAGGGTAGTAAAGTCAGAGTTTATTGACAGCTGAGACCAGAAACGGGTTGCATTAATGTAGCAACGTTCATTAGAACTCATCTGTCAAACTCGAACGGCAGAAATGTTTTAGTAGTTGCACGTAACCGGTCTCTTTAAAAGGCATTAGACTGTGGAACAGCTTGACTGTGATGCACTAAGTTTCAGCATCTTTCTGAGCTGCAAGAATAGACATGAAAAGGTTAGACAGCTTCCTCCTCCCTCTACCAAACATTGGTGTGTAAATGCTTTCAATTACCACTTTTACGCACACAATATTTTGTTTTAACTGGTGATACCAACAGCCCATAAATTTACAGCAAGACACACAAGGAAATGACTTCAGTTCTTTACAGCAGGTTGGCTGAACAAACAACCCTTTTACATAAAATGCAGTGGCGTGAAGACTTTTGACATTTGTCTCTAGTCAGTAGCGATGAACGTTTTGCTACTTCTATGTAATACTGCCATCCATTGCCAGAAGTGCTCATACAACATGATAAAGTTCAGGCTGTTGTAAGAGAGAGATACTCCACCAAATGGAGTTATGGTTGGAAAAATATGCTGAATTTTTGAAGGCATATGAACACAGAAAGCCACAAAACTTTGGAAATCCAGGACATCTAAAAAGTGTCTTTTTCGCTTCATTCATTTTTCTTCAAACCTAATAAAAACCCCTTAATATCAATGGAAACAAATGTTTAGAAGGTACAAAGCATGTTTAAACCATTGTCTTCACCACAGGAATAAAATCTACAATAGATTTCTCAGAGTACACTGATCTAAGCAGATACATATTTTAAAAAGTGTTACAGGCAGTTCATAAGCCTTCATGGAGAAATTAGGTCGTATACTTAGTTTATACCAGTGAATTTTCCTATATATATCAATGCATTTGTTTTAGTGAGAATCCTCTTACTGTGATAGAAGACAAAAAAAAAAAAAAACCCAACTTATTTTGGCTGTTTGCTAATCCCGCTTTGAAGGTCTAAATCCGTAGATCATGAAGTTTATTTGAAATGGAGACACTTGTGCAGTAGGGAAGTGATGTAATCTCTTTAGAAACAAAGCTACGGGAAGTAAATAATAACAGTTTTTGTGCATAATTGCTAGGAATATTTTCATGCACACTGAACAGGTTTGTTAACTAGTTTAAGCATTGGGCTGGTTGGAAAGTATATTCTTTTATTCATAATATTATGTAGTAAATATTTTTTTTCCAGAAAAGAAATTGTTGCACTTCAACATTTGAATAATTTGATAAATTTTTTGAATGAGGTATATTTTTATTGTTTATGAGTTTCCTTCTAAGGCTATCTTTGGTGTTGTTGTTAAATGATTTTTCCTATGTTATATTATCGCATGGTAAGTACAGTGTTTCATGTTAACTGTTTTGATCCCATTCCTCTTTCCACTCCTTCAAAAAAAGTATTTTCATAAATAAAACTGTAACTAATGAGAAAAGACTTTAAAAAAAAAAAAAGAAGAAGAAAGAAGAAAAAGATACTGCAGAACTTGAGTGGGATGTGCAATAGATCCCATGATCTCATAAATTATATATAAACACAACTTTGCATATAATATGGGACTTGAAGTTGTATGGAAGAAACTCATTTCTGATAAAAACTTTGACCAAGTCAGACGAATTTTCCTTTGGGTCAGTGTGGCTCATGTGACCTTCCAAAATGTTGAACTATTGCTTTGCATTAGCAAGCTTTAAGTTAGACTCCTAAACTGATGTTGAAACACAGAAGTTCCCTGTTAACTGAGCACTTCAGATGGTTTGTTACTTAAGTATCTGGCTTTCAGCTAATTTTGAAAACTTCAATTGCTTAATCACTGTGGCCAGATCCTTTACAAAAAAGGAGGAAGAGTGGGTCCAACACCTTGAAAACGAAGGTAAGAATTTGTAACCAATGCCATTGTTCAGTTAGTCCAGCAAGACCTCAAGATTTGGTTCACAGGTGAACAGGAAGATCGGGATGGTTCTTCAGATAGCCTTACTTTCTAGGCATTCCAGCTAGGTACAGATATTGCATTCCCAGCTAGGTACAGATAAAGCCACCTGTTCCTCAGTCAGGTAATGATTTCTTGAAGGTTCTGCAACATGGTGTATCTAAGTGACTGTTCATGTCACTGGCAGCACAGCTGGTGATGTTTCATCTCCTCTCCCCATCATCTTCCATGAAGACAAGAAAAAATATAACAGACCATGACGGGAACCTTGAAAGACATTATTAAAGGTAAAATCCTCCAGCACCGCCACAGTGGAACAAACGCTGTCATTGTGTGCTATACCTAAGGCACAAAACTTAGTGTACGTATTAGTGACCTTTGATCAAAATGTGCGTAAATGATATAATAGTGAGATAAAACTACAGAAAGAAACAGCAGCAAAGAGATCACCCGTTAGATATGCTTGAACATGCACGTGAATATTTCCTGCATCTCACTGATGTAGCTATGAGAGTTTTATTCCCAAGGAAATCTGTCAGGTTTGTTTATTTCAAGATTTTAATTATTTTGTCTTTTATCAATGAGGAGTCGTTTGTTTTGTAGAGGATGGCTGCTTTTTCCCCAGATGGCATGATGTGCTTCATTATGTATAATGGGATCAAACTGAACTAGGCAATACTGAGAGAGCAGAAGGTTTAAAAGGCTTATAAAATGCAAGGCTTATGTTTCTGTGAAATAGGAGGAGAACTTTTTTGTAGCAGTTGATACTCTGCCTAGGTTGTCTTGCAAGATCATTATGCAAAATAATTTTGCTAGTTGTGATGGCAGAGGCTGCTTATTGCATTTCCTTTAGCAAAGTGACATAGCAGAGCACTCTTTTTCAGGCTGCCTTTGGATGGCCGTCTGTAACACGTGAAGCAGCAGGTACTGATCATTTACAGTTTCAAAGGATCAATCCTTCTGCTAAGAGTGGAAATGGAAACAGCAGAATCACTTCAGCACAGGCTGCACCCAAGTAAATTTTTGCTGTTGAGATAATCAGCTTATGTATAGTTTCATACCAACACAACATATTTGTTATGCTTCTTGATTCTGATCTAATATTTGCACAGGGCCACATGAGCATCGCAGCTCATTTGAGGTTAGCTTGGGGATTTCTAAGACGGTGCTGTATAATAATCTGTGGACATAGTGTTATGGGTCAGTTCTTTCACTTCAATCGAAAATTTTAGAAGCAAGACAAAAGTCACATTTATTTTTGTAATACTACATCTTGATGCTATGAATGGGTGCTATTTGAGAGTACCAATTCTGAGCCAAAGAATCAAAAAAAGGAGCCAGCATAGCAGCAAAGCTTTCACTTCACAGCTGGCCTTCTCCTACAGTAGAGAAGGATCTTATTTTGTCTCTTGGGCTGGTGGATTTAGTCTTCCACGTCCTTAGCTCTTGCCAGTGCTATCTGTTCTACTGTTGCAGGTTGGTTGCAGCCTGAAGCAGACCTCACTGTCTCTTACGTTTAGTGATATTCACAGACTTTCCTTCCTGACCAGAAAGGGACACGTGAACATTAAGCTCCCGTTCTGATAACGCCACCCAAAACTGAGGCCCTGTGTACTGCATTAGCTTGTGTTTAT